ACAATACAAGTTTCTCATCACTGTGTCAATTATGCTTGACTTAATGATGATTTAAGATTTCCTTCCTTATTGCTTTTTTAGTCTAAGTATATATATGTTGATCAATTTCTCAACTAGTTTAGGCGGAGACTATAAAAGGAACTAATAGTACCAACCTCCTGCTATCATGGCAATAAGGGGAGAGTGTCCATAAGGACTAGCTAATAAATATCTTCTGATACCCAAAGTCATATTCACAATATACAATGGTGCTAGAAACAAGGCAATGCTCTCAAATTGGGCATTTGGAATCCTATTTCAGAGGGACTTTATGCATTATGTTAATGTTCTTTTTCCAAAGAATTAGATGAGTAAATCACTTCCTCGCTTTCTACTGTCTATATGGGTAGATGCCATAGCGCCATTAAAAGTGACAGTCAACATTCATGAGGGAATACTTTATTCCTTCAAATGCGGAGATGAAAATCCTAGACAAATTGTATCAACCAATGTAAACTTATATATAGCACAATTTTCTAGCTTGAGCTAGTGTAATTTGTCTCAAATCTTCATTTCCCCATGTAAAGGAATAAAGTGTTTCTATAGCTTCCTTGTGATTTCCACCTATATAACAACACCACCATTGTAGTGCATATGGTTTCACCCTTTATTCTATGATGATTTACTATAGCGCATGTGATCATGGGATAAGATTTGGATATATTGTCACCGTGGATCCTTGGAACCTTAGGGGATAAATGGGGATAAAATAGCCACTAAGGGCTTTCTCATCAAGCAATTGCCCCTTTTCCAGTTGGCTTAAGGGGAGAGAAATAAGGTGCGCTACAGTTGTATCAGAGAAAATGGTACGAGTTCGATTCCCATTAATTAGTGGCTACTTAAAAAATATAATATACCCTCGAGCAAGGTGTATTTCTACCCCTAAATTTGAAATTGTATGTATTGGGCGTCTATGCGTATGTCCTTCCTCTTGTATGGAGTATCCACGGACGAAGATATCCACCATGGGATTGCAGTACGGATGGATGACTAATTGCCTCACAAATATAATATACCCTTGAGCAAGGTATATTTCTACCCATAAATTTGAAATCATATGTATTGGGCATCCATGCGTACATCCTTCCTCTTGTATGGAGTATCCACGGACGAAGGTATCCACTATGGGATTGCAGTACGGGTGGATGACTAATTGCCTCACATGGAATAGTTAGTCTACACAATGGAATGATTGGTAGATTCAGTGAGTGTAACGCATGTGATCATGGGATAAGATTTGAATATACTATCACCGTGGATCCTTGGAACCTTGGGGGATAAATAGGGATAAAATAGCCACTAAGGGCTCTCTTATCAAGCAATTGCCCCTTTTCTAGTTGGTTTAAGGGGAGAGAGATAAAGTGCGCTATAGTTACTATAGGATAACCACAAAGCGAAATCTCAACCCTCTATATGCCATGTGTCATATTCTATGCCAAGGATAGCGGAACAAAACCCTAGTTTTAGGGCCTTCAGAAATTTAATGAAAGAACAAAGCCAAACTCCTAAGCATGGAGCTAAGAAACAAAAGTATTAAAGCATGAAATGACTTCTGAGTGTATAGCCCAAGGAATAAAGGAACAAAAGCACAGAGTGACTTAAAATAATCCTAAAGCATCTTAATGCCAAAATCAACACATAAAATGGAGCTAAATGGAGTTTAGTGTTATTTCAGCTTAACGCAAGGATATAGGTACTCCATTAATTAACATAAAATGGAATTTAGATTTAGATCTAAGCCGGATATAGAACAAAAACAAGTATGCAAAGGAGAGTTAAACTATACCTCAAATTAGTCAGCCATACCTAACCCACTGTCCCTACTATATATTTGGAGCCCCCCCCCCCGCCCTCCCCCTTCCCCTTGAGGAACACATGTTTTGGGCTGTCACCCTTACTAAAAGTTAGTCTCTGGGACTAAATTGAAACTTACTAAATATGGAATGGCATTAGATTGCAAATTTAAACACGAGATTAACGCTATTGTGTTTAGAACAATCTATACATTCTGTAAATATGCTAAATTAATAAATCTAGATACTTTTCATAAATAGCAATTGAGACCGAACAAGACTAATACAAAAGGCATGATAGCGAGGCTGTTTGGCAAACACCATAAACTATCATCTAGCGAATATTAAAGGACCAATTTTAATATTGCAGAGGTTCTTATTAAACTAATGCATAATAAAGCAAAAGAGAACTAACAAGCTAGACTAAATATGCTTGGCTACACTTAAGAATTCCTTCCTTATAAATGTTAAATCAAGTTTACTAACATTTAAGCAAGAGGAACTGTTAAAAGGCCCAGCAATACTGACCTCTTACCGTCGTGGTAGTAAAGAAAGAATATTCAAAAAGATTAGCCAACAGGTAACTTTTCATACCCATACTCACATTCGCAATAACCATGATAAGGCATTCTTTTCCAGAGAATTAAAATGTGCACATCACTTGCTTGCTTTCTAGTGTCTATACAGCTAGATCCATCTTGAACACCCAATCTGACATTGTCTTGTTTCTAGCGCCATTATATGGAGAGGCTGCACATAAAGCTTCTTCAAATGGTATAGACTTCGAGTGGAAATTCCTTTTCACACTTGGACTCCAAGGGATCCTCTTCATCAGAATCATCCAATCGCTTGCACTAGTGAGTTCCAGCATTCTTTCAGCCAGTTAAGGTAACAATTGCTTTCAACTGTCTGTTCAATATTGGAACTAAGCTGAACATCACACAATTAGGGCAGGTAGCTCAGTTAGACCACCAGGAACTGGTGTAGGAGGTCCTGGGTTCAATGTCCAAATCCATTTTCCAACATGGTATCGGAGAATTTTGTTCTGTCTCGTCCCTTGGTCCTCCATCTCCTTGTCTTTGAAAGTCTTTGAAAGTGAAATCCACTTGCTATGATGACCCCAATCAATTTTCCTTTTACTCCAAGAATGGTCATCAACAAGCATGCACCTTCAGTAGCAACTGGACACACTGGCCACATTTTGAAATCACAGCACCATCTTCTACAAAGGTATGCCACAACTTCAGCAGCAACTAAACACACACATATTCCCACAAAGGGAAAAAGACCAAGGAAAAATATAACATTCGCAAAAAAAGTGCGGCAACTTTAAAGCTTTTTAGGGTTTCTGTACTTATTAAATCCCATGATGGCAATATGGTCGACAATCTCAAGAAATTGGCGGTGGCTAGGGTTTGCAAGCTTTCAAGATTTAGGGCTTTCGGCTCTAAGGGGAAATGGAGTTGTGGGAGTGATTAACGCAGAAGAGGGATGTTGCCAGCTTCACCAGTCCTCCACTCGCTTCGCCGGAGCGGCTATGGCAAAAGACGGGCTCTTTTTCTCCTCTTTTCTTTCCCACGACTTGGTTTTTGCTCTTTTTCTTGTTTCGACTTCACGGCTGGCATCTAGGGAGTGGCAAGAAGCACTCCCAGTAGCGGCACTTCATTCAAATCTGGGATTCAAGAGATCTGGACGACCCTAGCTCGTGCTCTGGAATTAGGGTTCTTGGGCGGTAGCTAGGGTTAAGGTTCCTGGCGGCTAGGGTTCCTTCTAGCAGCTAGGTTTAGGGTTCACCTTAGGGTTCCTTGGTGGCTAGGGCTTCTAGGGCTGGCACTAGTGGATCGCTGTAATTCTAAGAGGCTCTTAAGGCATCTCGACGGTAGATAGACAGTTCCAAAAACTTTAGAAATGGAGCTCTTTGCCAATATCTATGTGATTTTGCTTGCCTTGATGTGTGATGATGACAGTAACGGTCAAGTATTGGTGGAGCTAGATGTCACTTTAGTGGTGACTTGGAGCAGCTAAGATTTGAAAAAGTTCCTAGTTTTTTGGATTCTCTTTGGAAGACAATGTATAATGTCTCACTTTGAGGATGATCAGGAAAGGAGGATTTTTGGATCTAGTGGCAAGGACTACTACCACAGTTGAGACTAACGGCCAACAGAGTCAATTCGGCAGTATACGTGTGGGGGATCCATACATCTCTTCTCCAACACCTGTTTTGGAGTTCACTCCCTTAGGAGGAAATTCATGCCCTTTCCTAGTCCCTATTGTAGGGCTAAGACTCATTCGAAGATGAGCTAGTGCACTTGTCTCATGTGGGAGGCAAGGTAGCACACTTTAGCCTTGAGTTGGAAAATGGTCACACCTCGCATAGAGCTACAAGTTGGAGTATTATCGTGTTTGGACGTTGTTTTGGCACTGGAGGCATGTTGGTGGTGGAGCGCTCCATGGCAAGTTGTGCCAGTCATGGAGTATAGTAAGTGGCTTCAAGCTTCACAGTGGAGTCACCTGGGAGGCAGACGGCCCAAGAGTAGTGCTGGGCGTTCGTGCTCATAACTTCACTAGTTTCTTTGAGAGTGCACTCTTAATGTTGTTTTGATCCCTTTGGGACTGGGGTAATGTACATACATGTTTAGCAATCTCAAAAAATTGGGCAAGGCAGGTAGCGAGTATGACAAGCTCAGCAGGTTTTCCAAGGAGAAGAGGCTAGTGGGGGAATATGTGAACACAAGGTACAATGCAGTGGCTCAGGATCCAGACTTGGCCCATTTGCTAAGTTTGCTCTACATCCACCAACACTGGGATCTCTTCCAAGATTTCATCTCTGAAGAGGTTTTCCAGATTGCTTGCCACATCCTCCAGGACCCATGCAGCCCTCAACTCGCTCGACGTTTTCTGGACTGGGGTTTGGGTGGGACCTGAACTGATTAATGTTTCTATAGAAGATGCAACACAAAGGATGGGTGTCAGCGATGCTTTGCTGTCTGATTGCTTTGCTCAGCGCAAAACGGTGAGTGTCTCTTTCCTCCTTTCTTTCTGTTTTGTGTCTCTTAACCAATTCATGTAGATGGATCTTTCAAGAGAAAAGTTTGGTAAAGGAGCTCAAGCCGTTTACGAGGCTCTCTCATAAGATATAGTCAAAATTCTTGAACGGCAGTCATCACCAAGCTACAGCAAACCCAGCCACCAAGAGCTGGAGCTGCTGCTCTGCAGCATCAAGTCGGAACCGTTTATCAAGGACTTGCTTGTGCCTTGCCTTCTTCCAGACGTTCTAACACAGTGGAAGATGCAATCGCCTCATGTTGATAGAAGCAGACACGAATATTTTCTATGGCTGCTCCTTCAACTGTAAGTATGGCGCACTTTGGTTTATCATTATCTTCTGCGTATGTTACAGATGCTGAACTTAAAGCTGATGATCTTGCGCTTTCTGTCTCAGCTCAAAGTCGAATGTGGCTTTTGCAATAATGTGTGAGTTTGCTATTGGGAGCCCATGGCCAGGGAAAGGGTGTGCCTTATCGACAAGGTTTTGCCAACTCGGTGTACAAGGCTTGAAGTACTCCATACATCATCAATCATATGGACTCACAAAAGGCATCAGACCATCCTATCTACTGCTGGTGCAGAGTTGGGGTTGTGCAGGTTCAACAATGGCAAGCTCATTGCAAAGGTTTATGGTGGCAGTGAGGTACTCGCAAAGTTGCAGGTGTTGCCACTTGCCACTTGCACTTCTTGATGACCAGGCAGCATTTATTCCAAACCTTGAACAGGTGTCTTCATTTTTGCTGCTTTCTTTGGTTGAGTATTTGTCTTGCTTTGGGTGGCCCTGGTTCATTCCAACACATCGTGCCCTCAAAGCTCGAAACGGAAGGTGTTACCTGTTAGGATGAGAATCCAATAAAAAAGGATGTGATCCATTAATGAGTGATTCACATGAGAAACAAGAGAAGAGAAAAGGCTCAAGGCCTGGAAGAAGAAGAAGAGAACGAAAACTTACCCTCCCACTTTGCGCCAGTCGGACCATATATGTCTCGTACAGATCCCCTGTCGTCCCGCATCCGTACTAGTTATGAGCCAAGAATAGCTCATAACATTACCCCCCACTTTGAAAAGCTCTGTCCCCAGAGCTGGCTGGTAACACAAGATCCCACTGAAACAGGTGCACCAGACTGTAAGCCACAAATTTTTCCTTTCCAATTTGCCAGCTTACCTCGTCTATCCGTCCAACACCGCCTTGGCTTTTGCTAAGTTCCCTTGCCAAGGTTCTCGCCTATGGTACCAGCTCCTACTTGGTCTCAGCTACTCACTGCACGAGCAACGGAGGGTTAGCCTTCCATCCACGGATTCCCAAATCACTCCCAATCCCCCTCCCCGGGTTAGACTGGACTTAAGGTTCGGCTACACTCCCCGCAAGCACAAGCAGCCAAGCACACCAAGCTTCCAGGTTCCTAACATCCTTTGGTACCACAAGACTTGATCATGGGACCCTCTAAATCCCAAGTCTTGAGTGCAACACTTGCTTCGGGACGCCGGGGCGAAACATCGTGGCCTAGCGGCCCGGTATGGGTACCTCTCGCCCCCCACTTCCATCCCGAAGGAAGGCCCAAGCCCCTAGGAAGGGCGAGGACCAATGAGCCGCATGGTACTCAAGTGGGGCACCACTCCATATGAGCCGGGAGCACCGCAATCGGTTTCCCTTTCGGGAGTGGGAGCTGCTCTTGAGCACTTCCTTGGATGGCCCCTCCGGCACCAGCCAAGTCCATGCTCACTCCCACCCAAGGCCCCTCGGTCCCAGTCTCAACCTCAAGTCGGTTTGGAAGCCCAATTGGAGAGTCCCTTCAAAACTGGTTCCTGGACCTCACTATCCCTACTATACTTTTGGAACCCCCTGCAGCCCCCCCCCCCCCTGGGAGACGCACGCTTTGGGCTTTCACCCCTTGACCCGTATTAGTATTTGGATTTAGTCTCTGGCTCGATCTCGGACCCGATTTCGGATCCGACTTCGGATTCGGTTTCGGACTCGATCTCGGACTCGATCTCGGACCTGATCTCGGACCCGACTTCGGACTCGACCTCGGACTCGGTCTCGGACCCGATTTCGGATCTCGGACTCCGTCTCGAACTCGGTCTCGAACTTGGACTCGAACTCGGTCCCCGAGTTGGTCTCGGACTCGATTCCGGACTCGATCTCGAACTCGGTCCTAGAGTCGGTCTTGGACTCGATCTTCGACTTGGTCCCATCCGATGAACTCTTTGTCATTTTGGTCATGCTTTCGGGGTTCCTTTAGCCTATGACACCTTGGCGAGTTGGTTCCTTACAACTCCACCACCCATAGAAGAAGTTCGATGCCCACATCGAACGTCTCGTTTTATCCTACGACTTGTTGACCATGTCTCCGGGGGCATCCCCCCACTTAGCGGTGTGCCTAAGTTAGCCTCCCCGGCCAAGAGCCCATGACAACGGAATATAGGTGTCCCTATACTCCTCACCTCACCACGCCCTAGTATAGGGTCGGGACTTGAACCCAGCCTTGCTTTACTAGGGGGTTGGGACTCGAACCCAACCTCCGTAGAATATGTCTACGGATTCGACATCCCCGCAGGGAGTCGGGCGTAGCTCCCTACGCCTGGTCGACCTAGCTAACCCATGCTAATTAGCTTACCTTCGGCGCGCCTTCGGGTCCCAACATATGCCACTTGCTCAACTTTGCAAATTGATATTTTTAATAGAACTTTGCATAAGTACATAGAGTTCTGGCTTGCAGAAATTCCTCCACTAGATCTCACGCGTTCGCTAGGTTCTCCTCCGGTTCCCATATTGCTTCGCAGTGTGGAAATCCTTTCCACTTCACATGGAACTCTCTCACCTCGCGTCCTTGTCGCTTGCTCTTGCGCGCATTGAGGATGGCCTCGACTTCGTATTCCTCTTCCCCTTGGATAACCTCAGGTAAAGGTCTTACTTGGTCCTTGCGAAGCGGATCCTCAAAGTACGGCTTGAGTAAGTTCACGTGGAACACTGGGTGCATCTTCCCCATCTCCCGAGGAAGTCGGAGTCAGTAAGCCACTTTACCGATTCGTGCCTCAATCTCGTAAGGCCCCGCGAACTTGCTTAAGGAACTCAAGATCAATTCATTTACAGGAATACATGCATTTTTACCTTTGGGTCAACTTTCGGCTGATCCCACTTGGTAGCCTAAGGTTCTTGGTGTTCAGCCACACCTTCTCCCCAGCTTGGAACTCTACATCCCGGCGCTTTAGGTTCGCATACTTGGTTTGCCTTTGTTGAGCCCGTTCCAAAGAATCCCTCACTAGATTCCAAATGTTGAGTCTTTCCGCCGTGAATGCCTCCATTGTGGGTAGCTCTCCATGATACTCGGCCATGCCGAGTTCCACAGGACCTTCAATAGCTCGCCCATTGATGACTTCCCATGGACTCACCCCGATACTCAAATGTGGTGAGTTGTTATAACACATTTCCGCAAGTCCCAAATGACTTACCCAATCGGTCTGGTCTCCCGAGACATAGCATCGCAAATAATCCTCCAGCTGCCTATTCACCCTTTCCGTTTGTCCGTCTGTCAAGAAGTGTTAGGACCACCAAACTTGACTTAATACCCCATACCTGTCTGTGGGTGATAGGCTGTGCTGAATTTCAACTTGGTGCGATACTGTTCTAGGAGGGTCCTCCAGAACCTACTAGTGAAGATCTTATCTCGATCTGAGATAATCTCTTCTGGCCTTCCCCGCACTCGAACCACTTGTTCGAAGAACAGCTTCGCCACACCTTCCGCATCCACTTCCGTTGTGGTGGGTATGAAATGTGCCATCTTCGAAAATCGATCCACCACCACGAATATCGCATCAAACCCCTCGCTTGGGGGTAGTCCCGTGATGAAGTCCATCGTAAGACATTTCCACGGACAATCTGGAATTGGGATGCTTTGCAACAAACCCCCACTAGCCTTAGTCACGGCTTTGACCTACTGACATGTTGGACATGTCTTTACATAGTCTTGGACGTCCTTAGCCATATCTGGCCAATGGTACTTCCTCTTGAGTAAGCCCATCGTCTTGGGCACTCCGCCGTGTCCCGCAAGAGGTCCGTCATGACACTCTTCTAAGGCTACTTTCCTTAGTCCCCCTTCTGGAACATATACCCTCGTTTGCTTGTAATAAATGAGTCCGTTGCGTTCCGCATAGCCCGTTTTCTCTTCCGTTGGCAGCTCACCTCTCTGGTGAGCTTCCCGCGCCTCCAGATTCCTCAACAACACTTCTTGTGCTAGACCATCATTCTCATATGCTGTCCACACATCGTCCCAGAAGGTTGCTGTTGCGCTAGATATCGCCAACCTCAAGCTCGCTTTTCGACTTAGCGCATCTGCCACGATGTTGCTCTTCCCAGGCTTGTACAGAATCTCGCAATCAAACTCGGCCAAGGCATTGGCCCACCGACCTTGTTTCCCTCTCAGGTCGAGTTGTGACAAAAAGTGTTTCGTTGCCACATTGTCCGTGTAAACCTTGAAGTGTCTCCCAAGGTAGTGTCGCCACTCCTTGAGCGCCTTGACCACCGCAAACAATTCCTTCTCGTGGGCAGGCCACTTCCGTTGAGCCTTGTCCAGCTTCTTCGAGAAGAACGCTACTGGATGGTTGTCTTGCTTCAAAACTGCGCCCAACGCAAAGTCCGAAGCATCCGTGTCTACCTCAAAGTCCTTACCGAAGTCCGGTAATGCCAACACGGGAGCCCTCCTCAATTTCCCTTTGAGGTGGACGAATGCCGCCTCGCATTCCGCTGTCCATACCATCTTCCCTTTTCCTGTTTGGTCCGTTAAGGGCAGGGCTACTCTCGAATAGTGTCTGATAAACTTTCGATAGTAGTTGCATAGCCCCAAGAACGCCCTCAACTCATGTACATTCGAAGGTCGCTCCCATTCCTGGATCGCTTAGACCTTCTCCGGGTCCACCTTGAGCCCGTCCTGGCCCACCACATGCCCGAGAAACTTTACCTCTTGTTGAGCAAAGTCACATTTGCTCTCTTTAGCATACAGTTTGTGTTCCCTTAGTTTCTCAAACACCTTCGCCAAGTGTTCGGCATGCTCCTCTAGCGTCTCGCTATAGATCAGGATATCGTCGATATAGACGACCACGAAGTGATCCAGATAGGGTACAAAGATGTGGTTCATCAACGCCGAAAACGTTGCCGGCGCATTGCACAGCCCAAAGGGCATCACCAGAAACTCAAAGCTCCCATACCTCGTTCGACAGGTTGTCTTCTCGACATCTTCCTCAGCTACCCTGATCTGGTAGTATCCTGACCTTAGGTCAATCCTCGAGAAGTATTTTGCCTTTCCCAACCTATCGAACAGGTCCTCGATCCTTGGCAAAGGGTACTTGTTCTTCTTGGTATACTTGTTGAGCAACCGGTAGTCTATGCACATGCACATAGATCCATCTTTCTTTTTCACAAATAGCACCGGCGCCCTATACGGCGACTTGCTCAACCTAACATACCCTTTGTCCACCAACTCTTCTAGTTGGCTCTTGAGCTCCTTGAGTTCTTTTTCGTTCAATCGATAGGGTGGACGAACCACCGCCTCAGCACCCTCGACCAGCTCAATCTTATGTTCTATCGGTCGTGCGGGGGGCAACCCCACCGGTAGCTCCTCCGGCATGGTATCCTGGAATTGGTCCAGCACCTGCTGGATCACTAAAGGTACTTCTTCCGTTCTTGTCTTTTTGTCACTCTTCACCGAGAGTAAGCACAAAAAGGCTGCCTTAGTTCCTTTAGTGAGTTGTCCTCTCGTGGACACCAGGTTTAAGCATGACTCTTTGGCCTTGCTTTGCCCTACCTTTAGATCCTGGGCCTCCACCCTAGATCTTCTTCCTTGGGCATTTGCCAATACCACAAGGTTCCTACCTTGTCCATGTAGGGCTACCACGAACCTATTAAACCAATCCATTCCGAAGATCACGTCAAATCCCGCCATGTCCACTTTCCATGTCCCCACTTCGACTCTCGCTTGTCGAAGTACCTCATCGGTGCTTTGGCTACCTTGAACAAACTCTATAGTCCTTGGTTCGCCTAGCCGCTGCACCGTTAGTCCGGCTTGCCGGACTATGTCTGCAGCCACAAAATTATCCGAAGCACCTGTGTCAATAAGGATCTTAACAAAGCTACCTCCGAGCTTCCCTCGGAGGGCTAGTAGATGTCGCGAACGACTCTCTACCAAAGTTGCTCGTGTAATGAGTAACTTTGAGTTAGGGACTGGATCACATACCTCAGTTTGGACTTCACCCGACTTGATGGCCATATTAGCTCTGGCCTTCTTCGGGTAGGGACATTCCCTCGAGAAGTGTCCCGCTTCACCGCAGTTGTAGCATATGTTGTTTCCCACGCTGCTATACGACTTGACCTTCTTATCCGTGGGTTTGTCTTTTTTCGCTTGACTCCCCCACGTACTCGCTCGCTGGCCACCGAATTTGCCTTTCCGGAACCCCGAGGACTCATTCTTAGAGAAACTCCTTTTGAATTTCCCCTTGCTATACGTTCCCCTTGGTTTGGCCCCTTTGCTAAATGTGGATCCCGACCCCATCGTGTTCCCCTTTCACAGGTTATCGTTGAAATGCACCTTGATGGCCGCATCCAACGCTTCCTTGTAGTTGGTCGGGTTCCACCGCATCACCTCACCGTGAGCCCAGGTTTGCAAACCTGATATGAAGGCATGGAATGCATCCATATCCCCCATGTCCGTGACAAGTATCCTCTTTGCCATGAACCCATTCACATATTCCTGGATGGTTCCAGTCTGCTTCAGCCTACTCAGCTCATCTCTCAGATGCAGAGTGGCATTCGGAGGAACGTATGTTGCGCGGATCCTCGCCTTCATCATGTCCCAAGTGGCCATTGGTCCTTCGTTGGCCTTCGTCGTTCTCCACCAAGACTTGGCATTATCTGCCAAGTATGGTTTTGCACATGGGACCTTCTCCGAGCTTGGTAACCGCAACGCTCGGAAGTAGTCCTCCATATCGTAAAACCAATCCTCCACCACCTTATAGTCGTTCACTCCCTTGAAGACCGGTGGGGGCTTTGGTTTGTACTTGGGAACTGCCTGAGGGACTGATTCTACTTCGGTCTGTTCAACCTTGTCTGGTTTTGCCTCAGTCCCGCCCGAAAGATCCGCACCTTCTGCGCTGCCAGCATCCGCAGTCTTTTTCTTTTTCTTCCGCCTCTCGTCACGCTTTAGCTTGCGTACGAGAGTTTCCAGCAGGGCATTGGTTTGTGCCAACTATCCTTCTAGCACATCCAATCGAGCCTTGGACGACCGAACCTCACCACCGGACTCCTGTTTGGAAGTTTCCTCACTAGAGTCCTCCTCATGCAAGGATTCCTCATCCATAGCCTTTTGTTCGACCGGAGGCTCCAGCTCCGGCGGAGGTTCCGTCTCCGCCTGGGTTCGCTTACGCCCTGCCCTTGCCATCTCCCAGCAATCCGCCTCTATCTGTGAGACACAAAATCCCTAGGCCCCAAAAGTGGAGCTGGAAGGGCGCCACGTGGTAGTGGCCGAAGCGAGAGCCAAACGAGCGTAACACGTTTGGACCAAAAGCTCCGACTTGAAAAGTCAAGAGCGGGAGTGGAACTCCCAACAAAGTGCTCGAGGAACGAGCACGAAGCGAGCAAAAAGCGAGGCTCCATAAAGGGACCCGAAATGGAGTCCGAGAGGGACCCGAGATGGAGTCTGAGATGGACCCGAGATGGAGTCCGAGATGGAGTCCGAGATGGACCCGAGTTGGAGTCCGAAGTGGAGTCCGAGATGGACCCGAGTTGGAGTCCGAAGTGGAGTCCGAGATGGACCCGAGTTGGAGTCCGAAGTGGAGTCCGAGATGGACCCAAGTTGGAGTCCGAAGTGGAGTCCGAAGTAGAGTCCGAGATGGAGTCCAAGATGGAGTCCGAGATGGAGTCCGAGGTGGACCCGAGATGGACCCGAAATGGAGTCCGAGAAGGAGTCCGAGATGGACCTGAAATGGAGTCCGAGAGGGACCCGAGATGGAGTCTGAGATGGACCCGAGATGGAGTCCGAGATGGACCTGAGATGGAGTCCGAAGTCGAGACCGAGACCGGGACCGAGACCGAGACCAAGACTGAGACCAAGACCGAGATCGGGACCGAGACCGAGACCGAGGCCGAGGCCGAGACCGAGCCCGAGTCCGAGACCGAGCCCGAGTCCAAGTCCGAGTCCGAGTCCGAGTCCGAGTCCGAGTCCGAGTCCGAGTCCGAGTCCGAGTCCGAGTTCGAGTCTGAGAGGGTGAAAGCCCAAAGCGTTCGTCTCCCAGACCCTGGGGGGTTTGGTGAGCTCCAAAAGTATAGTAAGGGGGAGGACTGCAGTGGAGCCAGTTTGGCCAGGAAAGGCCAGTTTGGCCCAGGAAGGCCGGACCCCGTGTTGGGTGATGAGCTGCCCACTGGGAAGTCCAAGACTAGAGTGAACACAGACCGACAAGCGGGGTAGCTTGGTGAAGTGTTCAAGAGCTGGCTCTAGTTCCCCCGGGAGATCGACTAGCCGATGCTCCCAATCCAAGTGCGGGTGGCACTACCTACTTGGATACCTGTCGTGGCTCAACGGAACCTCGCTCTAAGCCCATGGCTAGAGCACCTAAAGGCGAAAGGCGAGGAGAGTACCCATGAGGCTTGCGTAAGGCCACGGTGTTCCGAAATGTTGTCCCAAAGTCCCAAACGGTGAAAGGGAAGAGGAGTAGGCCTCTAATGCAGTGACCAAGGAGACGGTCACATGGTGAGGAAGTCCCAAAGGACAGTGGGACTTAGCGGTCAGGCCTGCGGGCCTTGATCCAGTGGCAGTGTTGGCGAACACGGCCATAGACTAAAAGGGACTTGGTGGGGACTGGAAAGGAGTTGTCGGGGAAGGCTATTCCCCATGTCTGCGGGCATCCTAAGGATGCTAAGGAGTAGATCGGGGATGATCGCTCATGGACGGATGGCCCAGTCTTTGAGAGACGGGACAATGATGCATTATGTGGTGTTAGACCACCGGTGTGACCAAGGTGAATGGGCATGGCCTTAGCGTAACGGGCCGATATGTCAGGGGTACCTTGGGGTGTCGGTCATGGGATCGGACACGTGGAGCACTTGGACCAAGTGCAAAGGTGGAGTGGCACGGAGGCCATTCTCGGGGCTAGCAAGCCCCAAGTCCTAACTGGGACTTATGGAGGTTGTGAATGAGACTCCTCCAAGTGGTCGGAGGTGCGGTTAAGTGACTAAAGTAAAATGGAAAAATTAGTCGCTTACACTATCCTTCGCTAGAACTGAGATAAAGGCTCCGATACCAAATTGTAAGCCACAAATTTTTCCTTTCCAATTTGCCAGCTTACCTCGTCTATCCGTCCAACACCGCCCTTGCTTTTGCTAAGTTCCCTTGCCAAGGTTCTCGCCTATGGTACCAGCTCCTACTTGGTCTCAGCTACTCACTGCACGAGCAACGGGGGGTTAGCCTTCCATCCACGGATTCCCAAATCACTCCCAATCCCCCTCCCCGGGTTAGACTGGACTTAAGGTTCGGCTACACTCCCCGCAAGCACAAGCAGCCAAGCACACCAAGCTTCCAGGTTCCTAACATCCTTTGGTACCACAAGACTTGATCATGGGACCCTCTAAATCCCAAGTCTTGAGTGCAACACTTGCTTCGGGACACCGGGGCGAAACATCGTGGCCTAGCGGCCCGGTATGGGTACCTCTCGCCCCCCACTTCCATCCCGAAGGAAGGCCCAAGCCCCTAGGAAGGGCGAGGACCAATGAGCCGCATGGTACTCAAGTGGGGCACCACTCCACATGAGTCGGGAGCACCGCAATCGGTTTCCCTTTCGGGAGTGGGAGCTGCTCTTGAGCACTTCCTTGGATGGCCCCTCCGGCACCAGCCAAGTCCATGCTCACTCCCACCCAAGGCCCCTCGGTCCCAGTCTCAACCTCAAGTCGGTTTGGAAGCCCAATTGGAGAGTCCCTTCAAAACTGGATCCTGGACCTCACTATCCCTACTGTACTTTTGGAACCCCCTGCAGCCCCCCCCCCCCCCCTGGGAGACGCACGCTTTGGGCTTTCACCCCTTGACCCGTATTAGTATTTGGACTTAGTCTCTGGCTTGATCTCGGACCCGATTTCGGATCCGACTTCGGATTCGGTTTCGGACTCGATCTCGGACTCGATCTCGGACCCGATCTCGGACCCGACTTCGGACTCGACCTCGGACTCGGTCTCGGACCCGATTTCAGATCTCGGACTCCGTCTCGAACTCGGTCTCGAACTCGGACTCGAACTCGGTCCTCGAGTCGGTCTCGGACTCGATTCCGGACTCGATCTCGAACTCGGTCCTAGAGTCGGTCTTGGACTCGATCTTCGACTTGGTCCCATCCGATGAACTCTTTGTCATTTTGGTCATGCTTTCGGGGTTCCTTTAGCCTACGACACCTCGGCGAGTTGGTTCCTTACACAGACGATCGAACTCTTGTTGAGAAAGCCAGGTGTCTGTATCCCCCCCAGTGTTCATCCAGCGAACAAGATAACGCTTAATCGTACGTCGACGCAGCTGACGAGTCTCCACATCGATCACCTTATCTGGCACAACCAGATGCTGGTCCCCCAACGAACGGACTGGAACTTCCACTGTCGACAAGGGAGTCGGACCGTAATGCAACTTGAGCTCGGAAACGTGGAACACATCATGGAGCTTGCACCCTTGAGGAAGAGCCAGCCGAAATGCCACCTCATTGATCCTTTCAATCACCTGAAAAGGACCAAAGTAGCATAAGCTCTATTTCGTTAAAGTGGGAATATTTATTATCCCACTTGTAAAATAAGGTTTCCAAACCTTTATATAGTATATAAATATAACAAAATTCAACTACATTGAGGCACATGCCATTTTATTTTAAACAAGGAAATGTCTACTCAATCACTTCTCCTCCCCCTGCCACTGCTTCACCTCTCTCTTCTCCTTGTCATCGTCGTCCAATTTCTTTCCATCTTTTTAATATTGGCTCAGTTGCTCCGAGTCTAGGTGGAGCCCAAGTCCCCATTCAATCTTTACTTTTCCCTTATTAATAAAACAATTTCGTAGACTTCCAATAACATGCTTTAACACTTCTAGTATAATGCAAATCCTCTCAAAGAATTGTCTTTTAATATTAATACAATGGCATGGAACCCCATGCCATAATAAGTTACATTTTTAAATAAATACATGCCATCTCAGACTGTTATTTTTTGCCTCCAACGCCTATACAATAATCTTGGAATTTCATCACTCTCCACACTATCAGGATTTAAACCCAATAGTAATGCCATCTCTTCTCTAATACGTCCACGCTCATGTTCAGTGGTCGAAGAACCCATCCGGTTGAGCAGATTATGGAGATGCGGATAGTGCTTGGCTAGACAATATACATGCCATAAATGATGACTGGTGTCTGTTCGATCAAATGGCTTCTAATATACCGTTCCATCTGCCATTTGGTTGATTTCTGCAGCCACCTCCTGGACTGGCCGGTTCTCTATCACCATCGCTTCAAGCCGTTTTGCAAGGTCCCCTAGAACATACGGTTTCTTCTCCCTAGTTTCCATACTGCAAGAGATGGGGTGCACTGCATATGTGTGCATGTTCGCTGCAGTTTTAATCGGCGAGTCATCGATGATGAGGATTTCACTTGACCTAGCGGTCCGGTTCATCACTACAGCCTCTGGCTTGATGAAGATGGGCTTGCTACCCCTCACATGGACCATAGTCAAGCAATCCTCTTGCGTTAGGAGAAAGTCAAATGGTAATATTACTCGCGTCTGATCGTGCATCATCTATAGCAACATTAATGCATTGTGGCGCATCATGGATGTCCAAACTCCCAATTGCAAATTGAACCCGGCCCTCTGTTTTAAGTGTCGCATGGTCATTATTAGATCCCGCAGTTTCTCCCGTGTGATTAATGTGAATCTGTCTCTTTTGACCAACTTGCGACCGCAGGCTTTGGAGGGTGCAGTGACATTCGAGGACGAGCCACGCTCATGGGAGAAAAGGACACCGTTCAGATCAAAAACGATACAGTACTTTCGCCGTGACTCTGAAATGAAATGCGTCAGCATAAAAAATGGTACAAGTCAATTTTACCATCTACAATATTAGCGAATGGTGCTCCCGATGGTCGTTCAGAGGGTTTTGGTCGAGGAAACGTGAAGGGCGGAAATACTCTCCTCTGCAATGTGGGGTCAATCGCATCCGATGGCGTGTGGGCACATGCCATTTCAGCTGTAGACTCTGGTACAATTGGCTCAACAGTGGCATGGGGTGGTTCCGATGGCGTGTGATCACACGCCATTTCAGCTGGTGCCTCCGTTGGCAAAGTGGACATGACCGAACAGGCAGCAGGGGCGGTGTAGGGAGGTTCCAACAGCGCGTAGTCAGACGATTGGGCACACGTTGAGTCCGTTGGAAATGAGGATATGACCGGCTCGGCGGCTGGGGCGGCCTCATGCGGGTCCAATGGCGCTTGGTCACCGTCAGTTGGATACGTGGACAAGATTGACTCAATGGTATGGGCAGCATCAAGTGGAGCGTGGTCAGCTTGCTTGGCGTTGATATGGATAGTAGCCTCCACCAGCTCTGATGACTCTTGCAGGCAAGTAGAGTCCACTGGCGGATCCATATGCATGTCCAAATATCTCCCTTCGATTGAGATGGTATCCTCCCTACTGGCTACTAAAAACAAACTCATTAGCACATTGAATCGACTATACTGTATTTACCATCAACTGCTATTGAGGAACTAGGACCGATATCACTTGGGCGCACTGCTGATTCTGAAGGATTGGACATACGTTTCGACCCTTGCTTGGCACTATCCTTCCTCGACACTAAAGGCTAGAGTTTGTATCTTAATTCATTTCTTCTGCGACCTACATGGACAATGTTAGAAATGATAAAAGGTTAGGAATGGATGTACTATTATTTACCTGATGGTTTGTCTTGTATGACCTTCCTCCGCTGCTCTTTGGCCACCTCAGGCTGGCCATCGTCGTCATTATCGTCATCGTCGTTATTGTGATCGTCACCATTGTGAGGACCATCCAAGTCCTCTTCGTCCTCCTCTTCTTCGTCCTCCTCTTCTTTGTCCTCCTCTTCATCCTTTTGCTCTTCCTGCTCATTATCTTTCTCTGGCTCCTCATCCCCCTCCTGCATTTCTTCCATAGGCTGCTCAGGCTGGATGGCTTGTTCTTCCAGGACCATCTTGGGAAAATCATCTGGCCGAGTCTCCATCTCAAAATACAAGACATCCATAGCCTGTTTTAGTGCTTGACCTAGGACCGTATCCTCACCCGACTGTCTTAACATGGTTTCTGCACGTTCTTGCACCCTTCAAAAACGACGAGATGAGAAAAATGTGGCCCTGACTTGAAAAGCATCCCTTATCCATTGTACCTCTCCATTGAGATTGGGGAAGGGGAGTCCGCCATAGGAATCTGAGTCAGGAGGTGGTGACTGGCTCCTTTCACTCAGCCCTTGATCTGCAATGAATGGCATGAGCACACACGCCATAACCGCGAGGCATTACCTATCATCTTTTCGTTGCCCTTCTTCCTTTTCAAATCAAACGCCTCTGATCCCGACGACTGTCCAACGTGCTTTCGCTTTTTATGACCACTGTCAGTTTGAGCTTGGCTGATGCTTGCCTGTTTTGCCTTTGAAGAAGTGTCTCCTACAAGGAATGGCATGAGACCACACGCCATTGCAAATATAATTTGTACCTCCTTTTTTCCTATTGCCTTTCTGTTTGTCCTTCTTCGACGCGCCACCAGTGCGCTTTTCAGTCCTCGTGTCTGAATATTCACAACGATCTATAATCAAAATGGCGTGAGGCCTCACGTGACCTTACCTTGTGCAGGTTGTGAGCTCGGCCTAACATCAGTAGCTGTTAACGCCGTTTCAGCATCTGGGGGTGGCCACGCTCCTGCATACAGAGCTTGTGAGATAACATTTAAACTTAAAGTGCGTACTCACTAGGTTCGTAGAGAAGATACTGTTTTTCTTTGGCAACTGTAATTATATGCTCCATTGAAGTCACCTCTTCAATGGAGTTTGTCACCGCAACACACGGGACACCCTTGAGTAGTGCGGCTCGAAAGAATAGTCCGCCACAGTTGTACTCGACAACGCATTTGCCCTTGGAGTCACCCGCTATTGCGTTGAAGACCCAGCTGAGCATTTCCCATGCTGCACCTGGAGCTTTCTTTGGATTCGAAAGCTCCATAGCCGTCTTCAGTTCCTCAGGCACGGGTAAATTGACCTCCCTCAGATCAATTCGATCGGCCTTGTCGAACGAATCTGGGAAGTCACTCCAGTCCCACTCTGCTGCAGGACCAATAACAAGGGCGAGTGTGAAGATGCAGACATTCGTTGGTATCTTCTTCTTAGCCATTATCCCATGGATCTCCTACATCTCCTTGCCTTTCAACCAAGCCTTCACCTCGTTCAAGGCCTTCCAGAACTTGTGATAGGATTCGGAGTCGTAGATCATATAGTGGACTGAAGATTCCACCTCCGCAAGTCCCACCATTAAGTCAATGATGGAGCTGACTTCGTCTGCATGAGTGATCTCTTCGTTTGTGAAGTCCATCACACAAAAGATGTTCTTGACTTGCTCATCTCCGCGGGAAACGATGCTCCTCCACCTTTGATCCTCATCCGAATTCACGTATACCCGGTAAGGTTCTCGATAGGCCTCTGCTGCGGGGTCGAGCTGTTTCTGAAGCCGGCGGTCGACATCCCTCTTAATGAAATTTGGATACTGATCCAACTTCTCAGCTTTACTTTTCGTGGCATCCTGCAGCAGATCGATGAACTTGGGGGCCCCCTTCACGTACTCGTCGATGTCTTCATTTGACAACTCCAACTCTTCCATCATCTCTTGCGTGGTGTCGATGCTCACCCTCTCCACGGCCACTTGCTTGAAGATCCAATCCTTCAATAGCGCACGAGCTCTCAGAGTCGTGCACAAGTCCTCGTATGTCACAATATGGCCGGGAGTCATTTTGGTCTTGTTGAAGACTACCTCACCACGTAGAAGAGCATTAGCCACTGTCAGAAGGTCGTCGTCGTCTAGAGACCACGAGAAACGCAAGGTGTTGAGCTTCAAATCATTGGGCTTCCGGCCGTCCTCCACACCCATTGAGTTTAGCAACTCCCTGTCATGGTACCTCCTCAGCACATCTACCCATTTGTCAAAAACAACTTTTGTCGCGAGTAGAATGTTATGGATGCTGAGTGTGTCATTGACCCCCAGTGTTTTCGAGAGAAGACTCGAGAATTCCTGCAATGGAAATGGCGTGAGGCCACATGCTATGCCACATGCAACGAGGCTTACCTGCCAGGCGCTAGTTGCTAGTGCACGTCCTTGTCCTGGTTTTTGTGGCTTCTTCAGTTGAACCCAGAGCTTCCGTGTTCGTGCCAATGTCTCATGCAGACCCGATTTGTAGCACGTTTATGTCAACGTTTCTTGCTTGACATTCTGCGCGTGGGAGATGTATATGATAGATCGGAGGGGCGAGTTGCCTTTTATCAGGCGGACAACTCTTGTCTTGAAGACTTTCTTCACCTCCTTGCCCACCATAATATCCACAACTATCTGTTGCATCGCCAAGCTAGAATGCTGCCCGGAGATGGCATAGAACCGGATGTTCTGATCGTCCAACACCTTCCTATTGATCAAGTCTGGAAACCTCGTCTCGCCCTTCATTGTT